ACCGTCAGCCGGATTGGCTGAGCCCCCCTCCCTCTGACCACGCCCCTCCCCCTGACTACCCCCTCCCTTCCCACAAGAACGAGTATAAAAGGACGAGCGCAACGCGAGGGAGCTCAGTATCAGAGTCTCCCAGCCCTGATGAAGCAGACTGCAACGCCTGCGAAACGTCGCGTCGGCACTACACTGCAAACGGACGCGGCAACCATCCGGAAGCCATGAAGACTAAAGAAGACAACAGCCGCGAAAGCCTGAAAGCCAAAATAAATAAAAGTATTTATAGAAAAATGAGACCTCCGACTCCATCAATCGATCCGGCAACTGAGGGTCCCATCGATGGCGTGAGACCGCAGGATCACGCGGACGTATATTATTTGCTGTTGGAGAGCACCTGTCTCATGCAAATATCCAGCGATCCGATTTTGGTGTCTCGATACTTCCCATGGCACAAAATGTGTCAGCAATGTTATCATGCACGACCGATTAGGGGGATAAACTCCTATATTGAAAAAACTCGGTATCATGCATTGACCTCACGATTGTACAATGTGTCGTGGGAGGAAACTATTTGCTGCATTCGATGCAACATAGAACTACTGCACGCCAAAAGAGCAGTATGCTGTAGAGAATGCATTGAGACATATTTGGACAAGGAGGATGGTCTCAAAGCGCGAGACCGCGTAAGAATGAACTTTGAATCAGAGATTATAAGAAGAAATTAAACTCGATGCATTCTCTGCAGCATACTGCTCTTTGTTTAGTACAAATGTGCTATAAAATGTAATGTACATATCACGAAAAAAATATATATTTGTTCAAAATCATTTTTTATCCTTTCTTTATTCCTATCCTCTTCGATCTCATAAAATTAAAGTATTATTTTTAATCTTTGAAAAAATTGAAGAATTTCCTGCGATATGCACCCCTTTATCGCCACAGTCTCATCGAACAGATATATATATGTATATAACGTCAACGTCTACTCGAAAGGATAACGCTTTCATCGTCATAGACCAACGCCCACTAACCCTAATACTAACCCAACCCTAACCTAATAAAAGGGCATCTCGAGATGCGCATTTCATTATTCGAGTTTACACCGCGAGGCAAGTGCATTTCATCATTCGAGTTTGCACCGGTTCTTCACAATGACCACAATGTTCGCACGCATCATAATTACCTGTACAGTAGCTACGATGCTTATATGGGTGTATATTGTCGCTGAGTGTAAAGTCATCAACAACAACAATGAAGTGGCGATACAGTATCTGCAGAAATACGGTTTTTTGAACGAGAAGATGGATACGTTTGCCACCAGTGAAGATCAGCTGGTTCTTCGACACGCTATCAATCTCTTTCAAGAATACTACAGATTACCTGTTACTGGTAAAGTGGACAACGCAACTCTAAGCCTGATGAGTAAGCGATGCGGTCTACGTGACATATTGAATTTCGGAGAGGGCAAAGTTATACCTAAGTGGCCGAAACGACACATAACGTGGAATTTTCACTTGGCCAACAGAGCGCTCTTGGATACAACACAGGCAGCGTTCGATTTGTGGCAGAAACATTCGTCGCTAACATTTGAACGTGCTGTTGAAAACCCAAATATTCTGATATCGTTGCGCGAAGGCCATCATATGTTCCTCTATCGTCGAAACGGTGAATTGTGCTAGAGCGTTTTGGACGGTCCCGGCGGCACGTTGGCTCACGCGATCTATCCCAATGGAGCGTCGGATTTCACGTCGGAGGTTCACGTCGACAGGATGGAACAGTGGCATATATATCTCGATGTGGGTCCACAGAACAAATATAATTTGCTGTACGTGTTGACTCATGAAATCGGTCATTCGTTAGGGTTAGATCATAGCCACGACACTACTCGATAATGTATTCATTCATACCTGACAGTACTTTTCCTGTCACACTAAACACCGAGGACATTATAAACATACAAAATCTATACGGCGCTACGGATACCGACGTGTTACCGAAAACGACTCCCAGACCGCCACCACCACCACCGCCACCGCAGCCAACACCAAGCGTTCCACCGGATCTGTGCGCCTTGAAACGTGTTGATGTGATATTACTGTTGGAACAACGAATGTACGTAGCGTACGGAAAACACATATGGATGATTGACATAGATGGAAAGACCTACAGAGAACCTCTGCTGCTTTCACACTACATGCCATTCATTCATTCAAACTTCACGTGCATTTCAGCCGCGTATCAAACTCCATACGATCACTTGATTCTATTCGTTGACGATAGAATCTATAAAGTGAACTACCCAGACTTCACGCTAGTACCAACTTGGCCGAGAACTCTCAAAGACTTTGGAATTCCTATGGATGCAAAAATAGACGCTGCCGTGAACACTAACAAAGGAAAGTCTTACGTGTTATACAATAGATATATCGTCGGTGAGATAGACGACTGCTCCGACAGCATTAGCAGGTTTCACACCATTGAGTCGACTTTTCCTGGCATACCAAACGGAGTGACGTCAGTCTTCAGATACCTCGACGGTAATCTGTATTTCACAACTCGACGACAATTTTACAAATTCAACGAGTTTACGAAAACTGTACTAACGGCAGGTACATTCGATCTACGAATCGTTAACGTTGTTTGCCCGCGAGACGAACTGTTTCAACAATTGCGCGATCTCCTATATCGACTCACGCGAACAAACAACAACAGCAACAACATCGATGACGACAACGACGATTCAGATTCTTAACACAATGAAAAAAACAAACACATACCTGACTATACCCTTATTACACATATATTCGAATATATGTATATCTATTCTAAGAGACTGTTAAATGAATAAAAATAAATATACATCAACTTTTGACTATACCCTTATTACAAATATACAGGGTGTGTCCTAATACTCGTATGTCCCGTAGATGGTAGATAGACCGGGGCAAACTGAATAGAAAAGTCCTATACCATTTTGCAAAATTCGCAATAGTTATCGAGAAATTAATTTTAATGTCTGAGCGAATGAGAGCGTAGAAGGCGGCA